CTGCAACGGCGTTGTAAATTATTTAAAATAAAATAAAATGAACTATTACGCGTTCACTCGTTCACTTAATTTAGTTAAACTAAGACAAGTGGATGTTATTTAATATTTTACTAAGACATTGTTTTGTAGAAACAAACGCGAAGAAAGAAGAAAAAAAAGTATTTAATATAACGGTAGAATAAGTGATGAAAGTACGAACGAGCGCTCCACCGTGTGTACATCGAGTGTCGACACGGAACTACTAAAAATCTTAAGAATTTTTTCAGTAGATATAGTTTTTAAACATCTATTATTATTAAAAAATTACAAAAAAAAATCAACAAATCTGTTAAAGGAAAAAATTAGCGTGAATATCATATGCTTGCTGGTGAATCATTCTGCAGATGTGTACATATATCATATTATTAAGATTAATTATATCATTATAAATATATACAATCGACGATGAGTGTGAATGTGGTAAAATATACGATACATAAAACCACAGATCAGCCGAATTCCACGAACGATAAAAAGAGATTTTTTGTTTTAGGAAAGTATCAATGGCGTCGGCGTGATAATAATATATACATAGACACACAGTAATCATACATTTTATAGGTCAGTATACCTACTGATTGCAATAGCTTGTCGGTGCGTCGACCGTATGGGCCCGGATGTTGATGCCCCAAAAAACCTATAAAATGCCCTAATGAATTTTTTWWAAATGGTATRCATGACCTAAATTCTTAAAAAACAATCATTAAATTATTTATTGTTTTTAAATAATAAAAATTACAATTTACGAATATACCTACCTACATGGTTTTGATATCGATTTTAAATTCATAACTGGTTTCAATTTATAAAACAATTGAAAAATTTGTTTCAAGTATATTTTTTGTGATGTATAGGTAAAATGAAATTGAGTTTAATAGTATTATTCGTACACGTAAATTTTTAAAAATATAAAAACATAAYAAGTGATGAGGTATGATGAGTACGTAATAGCAAATAATTAATTCAGTAAACGGTTAGGAAATAGGAAGCATCGTCTGTGATATTCCAAAAAAAAGTTGCAACATTCGGTCYCTATAAACTAATATTATATTATTATTATTATTGCTTATACACGACGTCGTAGTTAAGCCTTTGATGGGTTGTACGACAAAAACGCACATTATTTAAATATAAATCATAATAATAATAATAAAGTATTACTTCATTTGCWCTACWGACAGTATTACATGCATCCCAAACAGATTTGAATGGTGTAATTTTTATTTTTGGAAAATAATGGTATTATAGGGAGGGACATATTTACSCACGGACAAAATAGACATTTGTTCTGGGCCCGTGTGGCCATGTTAGTGCGTTCACTAACATTATGTAATATAATAYATATTATGGTCCAATTTTAGATTCTAAGCGGAGCGAGGAATGTATTGATTTTACAATAATGATATATATTTTTTTTTTGTGTCTGTCATCACGTTTTGGGGCATTAAAAGTGCTTCGATTTTCGACTTCAGTACCTATTGTCAGATCAGAAAGTGAATCTAGTTGGTACTTTGGGGGGAGGGGTCAAAAGTAAAAAATTCTCAATATTTTTCTAAATAATCGAGATAAACAAACTAAGAAAGCGGGTAAGGCGTGGATGTCGCTCTGCTGTACAGTAGGTTACAATAAGTGGGTTAGGTACTGTAATGGATGAAATTAAATTTGAATCCAATGATATTATATCATTGTATACGAAAATAGATTCTGAGCGGAGACGGTTTATCTGTCTAGGATATATTATAGATTATTAAAAATTTTCAAATCTCAGATTTAAAAAAGAAAATTTTTTATGAATTTCTAGCATAAAATAGTTTACAAATTTTCGTGATTTTTACGTATGTTGTCAAAATTCAAACTTTGAATGCTAATAAAAAAAAATTGTGACTATATATTTCTTTTATTTTTCACCTGTTATTGTAAAAATATGTTAGGAGCCTTGTATTTAATTTTCAAAACTTATAGCTAAAAAGAAAAACTTTTATGAATTTTTTTTTTATAAGCATTAAAAGTTCAAATTTTTACTAAATACGTAAAAATTACGGCAATGTTCAAATTATCTTAGATAGGAATTCATTAAAGTTTTTCTTTTTAAATCTAAGATTTGAAAATGTAATACAAGACGCCTAACATATTTTTACGATACCAGTTGAACAAATAAAAGAAATATAGTCACAATTTTTTTATAAGCATTCAAAATTTGAATTTTGACAACATGCGTAAAAATCACTAAAATTCGTAAATTATTTTAAGCTAGAAATTCATTAAACATTTTCTTTTTAAATCTAAGATTTGAGTATATCACAGCATATCACATGACACATGCTAATACAAATGTAGAATATTAAATTGTTTTATAATCATTATTTTCCTTTTTTTTGGTATTTTTCTTAAATTTCTAAGTCATCAAATATTATATATTCTATGTATTTTGCACACAGTATAAAATGCATTTAAAGCGTTTGTTATTATTTTTGTTTTTGTTTTCAGTTTCATTGTGTCTAATGCAGAACGTATTAAATCTGAATTACTGGCAATGTGTAATGAAGAGAACGGATCAATGTCCAGACATGGATATCAAAATATTTTTGTATTCCAGGTAAGACAATAATAATATAATAATGAATATCCCACATTACTATTTAATTTTACCAATTCCCTATTGTCTATACTTTCAAGGCAAATAGGAGTAAGGACATTCAAACTAATCAAACCCTTTCGAAAATTATTGACACGTATATTATACTATACTAGGTACCTCCTAAGTGTAGTTGTTAAAAATCATTATAATATTATCATTCAGCGTACACTGTACAGTAATTTGTTATGTTCGATATTAAAGGTTTCGAATCTTTCGAACTAGGTGAAGGGCTTTATTAAAAACTACGTTAATACACTTAAAAAAATACAATTATAATGTATTGTGTAGCTTTGTGTATAAGAAAATTGATCCTTAATCGAGCCTAATACTTTTATAAATATGTTTATTCAATAATAATGTGATGCGGACGTTTTTGTTTTATCCCAATTAAAATAGAATAAAATAATGACTACAATATTTGGGTTAAATTAAAATATGATTGTGACAAATAATTTTCAACCTGAATAACTACCTGCAGGCCATTAAAAAATAATAATAATAATAATAACTTTATAGTTACATAAAAAAAAATGTGTAGGTAGTATAAAATACAAAACATAATATTATTTTGTCAATAAAATTTAAACAGTTAGATTATTGATGCCTTAGTGAATTAATATTGCATTATATTCATGGGTAAAACAATGATTAAGCCATTAAAAAAAAAGATTTAACGTTATTACTATGTAACTTACATAATATAATGGTTATGTCGTAGACAGTTTAACAAGAAACGATAACTCATTAATTTTGTCTGTAATATTATTATACGTGCGTATTAAAATTTAAAGCCCACCTATTTATCAAATTTAAACGTAAGCTATTGTAATAAACAAAATTATAGTGCCTGGAAAATTAATATTGTGGACTAAAATACATAATAGTTATAATAAATTATAATACACGTAGATATTGATAYTAATTAAATATCACCCCAGCAAGAGCACGGTAAGTGGGAAACAAAACTATCGTTAATTTAACATTTAATATCATCATTACTCAGGGTGTTCCATCCCTTACAAGGGTGCATGAGCCAAAATATTTACTATATATAGGACAACCACCGTTGTTGTACACCGTTTTCTGAAATTTGCTCAAAAACATATGGGTTACTATAGGTACTATATTATAATATTACTTGACGTCACCCATCGTGGTCATTTATAACATTTCGTTTTATATTTTTTCAGTAGATAAACCTTCCGCGAATAAAATGCCTAAAAAATAAAAAATCTAATAAAAAACGATTACACCGTGTTAACATAGATGTGGTACGTGTTTGTTAACTTCACGTTATAAGTGCATACAACACATACGTATCCGCGAAAAAATAAAAAATAATAAAAATATTTATGTGACTTTGTAATAGTAGAAAAATTGTATACATTGACACAGTCAATTAGATTACGTATGTGTACGATGTATATATTTATATATATATAAATATATTATATGGTGTTATATATATTATATTGTGCCGACCCGACGACGACGTCAATTGCAGAAAATCCGATCTTGTCATTTCTGGCTATTGAAATGACATTATTATATTCGTGCGCAATCAATATCAACACTTATCGATGGAGTGCATTGTGTGATCGAAGAAGTGTAACAAATCAATCACTGTGCGATCCATATAAACGAGAGTGATATTGTTTACTTACTTATTATACTTTCGTCGGTAAGAATTCCAACTACCATAATACACGGTTCCGTGAAAATAACGGACACTGGTGCAGAACAAACAGTTTCCGATTCGATACAGATTYTCAGTATACTTACTYTCRGGAACTCTGGTGCAGGTAAAACGAAAAGAAACAATTTAATTTGAGTATAAATGCCACCTTTGCATTGCGCCGTATAATTCTTTTTTAAATAGTTACGYGAATCGAATGAAAATAAAGTCACTTGCGAATGTTTTATCAATAGTCATCTGGTGCTTTGAATATTATTATGTATATTTTACGCACCATAAAAGATTGTATGCGTTATGAATTATTTCATAAACTATTTCAATCCAATGGAGTAATTACGGGGGGGGAGGGGCACGACGGAGCACTTTTACCCCTTGGACCACCCGGTGTTATGTAGTTGGTGTAAATGATATGCTTTTGCTGAAGCTGAAGCTGAACTTTAAGACTATTAAATTAATATAGTACCTACTAYCTACTGAGTGGATTGTTAAATTTGTTTGATAAAGTATGACACAACTGAATAAAAATAACGTTGAGTAGTAATTATGTTATCGCACTTATCTACAACTATGGCTGTTWATATCATTATCGTGATTATAATATCATAATTTTAACAAAATATTTTTTATTTGACATAAATATTGTATTTTTATTTGTGTATAGGGTTAGGATACTAGCAGGTATACTATAAGCATAGGATATTAAACTAACAGATTTTTATATTTGTATGTGATTCTTTTTCTTCTTCTGGCATGAGGCATGACTACTCTTTAAGATTTTTTGCCACCATTACTACTCTTTGCCACTTGTATTTGTCTCGGGTTGCCTCTCTACAATCCTCAACTAAGATTTTAAATACTCTTCAACCAATGTCAATCCACCATTTCCTAGGTTTTTCTCTAGGTCGTTTGTCAAGTGATATCCATTTCAATGCTTCTCTGTTACGTTCTCGCCTCTTTTCATTGTGTGGTCTAATTATTGTATCGTCTTCATAAAGATTGYTACTGGTACTGATTTCAACATATCGTACAGTTGGTTTGTTATATCTATAGATGTATATGTATGTAACCAAATATAAAAATATAAAGTAGATATATGCGAGCAAATCGATTGACTTCAAATATCTGTATTTATGATTATTGCACCTGCTGAAATTTAACGGAATTTCGTCAATACTTTATTTATTTTATGTTAGTGTCTATGCTTGAGTGTTAAGTCAAACGAAAACTTTCGAATATTTCTGATAAATAAACTAAAGCTATAATCTAAAAAATCGATAGGTATATTGCAGCAGTTTGAAAGCGTGTGATAACACCGCGGACGACGGTCGACAATATATTATTATTAGAAAGTATCATAATATTATCGAGAAAATAAAACAAAAAACGTACATTTTTATTGTCTGTAATAATTATTAATATCAATCAGACAATATTTATATATTGTTATAATAATTAGAAATTGCCATTGATTCTGTTCTCATGTATAATTATAATTATATACGGTGTGGATTTCAATTTCACAGTCGAAGAATTTCGTACAAAAACCATACAATAATCTTATATTCGTTTTTAAAGAATGTCAAGAGGTATATACCGCCAATGAAAAATCAAGTAGGATAACAATTTACAGTAAATTGAGTAAATTATTTACTGCATTAAAATTGTTTAAATGTCAACGTGATTGCTGTATAATTAAATTGCAGCTGTTCTCGCGTCTAACTTCGTTGCGTTAATATGACTGAAATTTTATTGAAATAAATTAACGATTGAAATAATAATAATATAACAGTCATTGTCACACGTATTTATTTTATGTGCAATCTACACTCGCAAGAAAATCAAAATAATAAAAATACCTCAAAAGGATGATATTAGCGCACTATTTGTAATCTTTCTCTCTCTCTCTCTCTCTGTGCAGGTACGCATGCAAAATTGAACATTTACATTCATCAGTAAACCCAATCATATTGTGTTGTTAGCTTTGATATTAGAGTGGGTTTACCTGAGAATCAAACTAAATCTCAATAATGTTTTGAGTTTGAATTTTATACGATAGTTCAATATCTTTCCTTCATTTTTCTTATCGTTCTATCCTTTTCCACGATATGAGTTTTTTAAATTGCGCACGGTACTCAAAACTAAAATGAAAATTATATTTTTGTAAAAAAATAAACGCTTGTCTACAAACACAGGTAATTTCTAAACATTATGTTTGATAACTCTGTTGTGTACATTGATAGATAATAATTATATATTATAAACTATCCTGCGGAATATAAACGTTGAACATTTTTACAGCGGTGCTAAACGAAAAAAATTGATCGATGTCCGAAACAAGAACACACTCCGGTACAGCGGTTGGGATCCTAGCAAAAAAAACGTCATCATTATTCACGGTTTTAACGGAACAGAAAGCAAGACCCCGATGACAATCATAAGAAACGGTTAGTGATCCGTAATAAATAATGTAATAATATTAAATATTCTATAGTGATTATTAGTAGGTATTTTTATAGTGATCATCATTATTATTATATCATTGCGCCTGTGCTATTATGTATGATGTATATCGTATGTGTTACGGGTAAAGTACAAAAACGGTTAGTGTACATAATACTCGGGTAATGCGAACCTCATCCATATGAAMAGTGCAATGTATACATTGTATGTATTATGTATACATGTATACATTGTGTGTACATGTGCATTATCCACATTAAATATGTAGTATCTAATCAATTTAATTTATACATTATCCGGTGTGCTGTGGATAAAGTATTCGTATAACTGTAATCGTAAACTTATAACGTCGGTACAACATGACCAACGCATCAAACTACACTTAAAATGGTACAGATCAACAGATTATTATACATTTATACAGTCTTTCTAGTAACAAAAACCAAATTATACTAATTCGAAAAAAAATTATTTATTATTATTACTATTAAACTATAAATTATATATTTGAACAATTTTACTATTTACTTAATTAAAATTTAAAAATGAAGTGCAATTATTTATTAGAACAATTTGAGTTCGGATGACATTTAGAATTACAAAGTATTCCCCCAGATTTGCATTTACATTTATTTGTTAAGCATTTAGTTTTACATTAACACTTCTTAAAACCTTGACCACCGGAAAAAGATTGTACATATTAGCTATTTCACGAAAAGACAAAAGAATCATGATAATATTAAAAGTATATACAATAATGAGCAGTATTGATGCAGTATGAACAATTATACCGTCCAGTATTGTATTTATAAAAAGTCAGCGAATGTATATTTTTAATTAAAAAGTTGACGGTAGAATTCTTAAACACAATACCAGCCACTCGTCTCGCTTCAATCGACTTTAGGTGCAGTATTTACGAGGTGGAAAAGTAAAATGTTAAAAATTCAATCGTGACAATATAATATAATATAATATTATTTACGCACTATCATCGTAGGCATTCGAAAAAAGATTTTAGCCGCAGTGTGTTTCAAGGTTTCAACTATATTTTCTGCGGAGATCGCCGTTGACCCGAAATGCAAAAGCTGACACGACTTTGKGTACAGTTTCTAAAGTTTTTCTCCTGCTGTGTAAAACCACTGTATTATCGCACATTTTGTGAAAAATTCGTAATATATAATATTATAATATTTATATAATATATTTCTTTTTAAAATTGTGCGTATCACCGGACAATGAAAAAGAGCAAAGGATTTGCAATGGACTTTCATATTTATCATGCATTTTCAAAGGAAAATATCGTACTTGAGGACGTCCGCGCAATTTTTTTTTTTTATCTCTCAAACCCTCAATCGACGAGTGACATATAGATAAAACTTTTTTTTTTTGTAAAATTGTTTTTTTTTTATGATTTTTGAGTATTAATCTTCGAGTAAAATCGCTCATAATAAATATAATGTTTTTAAGGGTTTGACATACCTATCGGTTTTATGTTTTATTATTATATTAAAATTGTCAGTGTATGTTTAAATGGATATAGTAAAATATTGTTTTGAGCAAATTATTCAGACAAATCGATATACTATAAAATAACCTCATAAATCTATAATTTTTTTAATGGGTGATTTGACTCTAGATTACTCATGAAAACAAAAATATGATTTTGCGTGAATGCGTGTGTTGTTCTGTATAAGTACATTATATTGCACGCGGTCAAACATACATATGAGCATAGATAGAAAATAAATAGTAGTGCGCACCGACATCTTGCAGCTCTTAAGATATTATGTTGCATTGTGTTTTCTAGTTTTAAAATAAAACACTGTGCTGATACGAGAGCTTACGATTTTCACGAAATCCCCACCGTTGTCGACATATGAAAATTTCTATGATCAGCCCGTGCGTATTATACGCTTATAGGTACTCATCTTTGACCGTACAGTGTACATCTTTGCGTATACCCACTTAATAGGTRTAGTAAGTGTAGTCGTGACTCGTGACTGACATAACACAGTTTCATCCACATCACCGGCATCCGATCGCAGCGCAACTAACTCACAAGCAACTCTGCCGCCACGGCGCCACGTTTAACGTGACAAAATCTCAGATCATCCGTAGTCGGAATATAATAAATAATAATATTATGCATTCCGACGTCTATTGTTGTTCATCATTCGGAACCATCATAAGTATAATATATATATATATGCTGATCGGTAGTGTTGGTTTTCACAGTCATATTATTATTTATTATAGGTACCTATATACCATATATACTTTCAATGGTTGTATCGTATTTTGTATATTATATAGCAGACAGGATTCTGAATTTAAATATTTTCAATTGAAATAACTTTCACTTCTTCTTAAAATGTTTAAATTAAATTATGAAAAATATTGTWTTATTTATTTTAAACGTATTCGGTTACAAATGATTATTGTACACACAACACATCACAAAAACTGAGAAGTTAATTGAAAACAAAGTGCTTGGAATAATTTGTTTGCATATTAATTGAAAATTTCAGGATTCATAATATTATATTTGTGTGATTTTTTTATTGGCCTYCACCACTATGCCTCGATATAATACTGTGTGTCATTGTGCGGAAGTGGTAAGCCTATAACTGTGCATCTCACAAAAGAAATGTGTTGGTAAAGGTAATTATATCATCCATGTATTTTATTTGCATATTTTTTCGTCTGTCGCAGCGTATCTGAACCGAAAAGACTACAACGTGTTCACYGTGGACTGGGAGCCGCTGACGTTCTTCCCGTGTTACCTGTCCTCGCTGAGCAACACCAGACTGGTGGCCCAGTGCACGGCCCAATTCTACGCCCATCTCACCTATTCAGGGGCATCGGCGTACGACATACACTGCGTCGGCCACAGTCTCGGGGCCCACATATGCGGCATGATCAGCAACCACTTGACGCACAGACAGCACAAGATCATTGGTGCGTATATATTACACATAACATATTATTATTATTATTATTATATCATCGCATATAATATTATAATATATAATCGTCAGTGACGTATCCGGAAGGGACACGCCCCCGTCGGATGTATTTTTATTGAAAAATATGATGACAATGTAAAAATAGAAATACTGACCTTATATATATATATATTATATATTGAAAAAAACATCTCCTCTAGAAAAATGAAAGTTTTAGATTGGACTCAGGTTTTGGACACAATAATAATATAATAAATTATTTGCAATAAGTTAAAGTAAATAAAAAATTGCCTGCAAACGTTTTATTGATTTCAGTAAAATTTATRCTTAATAATAATATTGTTTAAAATAGTTTATATTTTTTTAAGTACATAAAATTTACCCTCGATGACATAAGCCATTGGAGTACAATATTACTTAAATCAAAATTTTATTTTTAATGATAGACAAGTTTTCATGAATATTTATAGAAGTTTTTTTTAAATAGTACAATACTATATAATTAATTAATTCAATACCTCAATAATATTTATACTTTTTAAAAATATAAGTTTTTAAAATACTGTATCACTCATATTGTGTGAACTATATAGTGCGTACCACAGCGTGATCGAAGGAAATTACTATTGTTTCGAYCGTATCGTAGTCGCGCGGAAAACTTATAAAAATATAAAAATAATACACCTGCAAGTATAGGCAGTATAGCAACCGCACATAGATTCTTTTAGCCTTATTAACCACTAATATGCCACTTTTTACACACACATGACATATTATACAGTGTACATTCGTATAATTTTACACGATACACATAATAATAGCATATTAGCATATTATTATAAAGTCTACGGATTTCTCGGCGAGTCTTCCGAATTCTAACACACGTAAAATATTATTAATGGCACAACGTAAATGCGTAATCTACTTAACTAGTATAGGTATACACGGTATCAAACGCAGGTACCTTTATATAATATAATATGGGCATGAGATTTTCTCACGAACGCGACTGGTGTACCTCTGCCGATTGGGTTGAATGCATATATAGGTACGTTGTTTATTCTTCTCTATTGTTACGATAAGTATACCTACTTATTTCGTATTTTTGTTTATCACACGATACCG